GCAACAGGTCCAGTGTGCCTGAAGAAAACTCCAGCAAGGAACCCATCATGATCACCATTCTGTTTAAAAACCGACGATTGGCTGACAACACAAGGAGTCAGCTACAGTCCTTGAGCTGCAAAATTGGCATGTGCATACAACCAGTGTTCACAAGCTGAAAAATCGGAGACTTTCAAAAACCAGGGAACAGAAACCAAAAACACTGAACAATGCGTTGTGTACCATTGTAAATGTGGTCTGTGTGATATGGACTATGTTGGATACACCAGCCGACACTTACATCAACCTATTGTTGAACACAGTACCCTAAATTCGTCGATTCAAAAGCACATGTTTAACATGCACAGAATCTCAAAAGCGGTTTTAATTAATAACTTTTTAGTGTTGAAAAATGCCACAACAAATTTGATTGTCTTATCCACGAAACATTAATTATTCAAGATCTCAAGCCAACTTTGAACGTGCAAACTGACTCTATCCGCGCAGAACTATTTACATACTGTAATGTCTATTATACTACAGTCGAGCCTCTCTAATACGGACACCAAAGGGATAGAGCGAAGTGTCCGTATAAGCTAGAGAGGTGTCCGTATTCAGGAGAGGCCACTATGATGTCACTTTAAGTCTCCACTGACAGTTTAGAGTGTTTAGTAACTAAAATCAGGCTTAAAAGTGACTTGTTCTGGTACTGGTATTGCTGAATGATAAAGTGTCAATATTTGTGTAACTGCCGACAGAAAATGGTACACACTGCAAATTATCGACTCTGGGTCCCCGGAGTGTTTATAATAAAGAGGTTAATTTTGCATAAATGTGCTCCTTAGGGCCGAGATTTAGTGTCTGTCGTCCGTTTTAGAGAGGGTCCATATTGTAGAGGTTTTTTTTGAGGAAATGTATGAGGATTTTGTCAGTACATAGGAAACTATCCGTATGGAGAGGTTCGACTGTAGTCCCATTAATTTATATTAACTTCGCAATAAAACTGTCATTTTTACCTTGATAAGGACGTCAGCAACATTGAAACATTTTAATATGGAACATAACTTACAGTCTTTTTTTGTTTTTAGTGACTTCATAATTCTTCCAGGTTTTATCGATTTCAGTGCTGATGAAGTGGTAAGTTTTTGCACGTCACTAATTATAGACTACATACATGTATAAGATAAATTTATACTAAAACAGTTAGACTACTCACCCTCGCTTTCTACGTGGACATTCTATGAGGGATAGTCAACTCGGCTGTGCCTCATTGACTATCAGCTTGTAGAAACTTTGGGCTTGTGGCCTAATAATTGTTAAATTATATAGTTTGCGAGAAATATGAGAACAACTGTCAGTGAGAATTATACAAACCACAGATGAGTGTTTCTATAACTCTGACAATAGAATCACAGACGGAAAGTTTTTGCTATTGCTTTTAGCAAACACAGCAAGAAAAAGAAAGAAAAATCACTCTTTTATCATGGTTATCAAATTGTAAATAATTTCTCCTTGCTTGAGCCATCAGTATGTCAACAGCTTGTGCTAGTTTTGAGTTTCTATTGAGTTACAGAAATAAAGCTTTCAGCATGCATTTTCTTATTTTTGTTTACCAGTGGTTATCTAGTACCATTTTACATGTAGATCTATACATAATGGACTACACCTGGTTTTGGGTGACTGATTTCATGTGATTTCTTTAAAATGATGAAATTGTTTTTTCTCATGTTACAGGACTTGACTTCAGCTTTGACTAAAAAGATCACTTTAAAGACACCACTTGTCAGTTCTCCAATGGACACTGTCACAGGTATGACACAAATTGCATTGAAGTTGATAAAGGTACAGTAAAGTAACTGCTGTAGTGAGTTAGTGAAGCTGATGTTTTGAGCATCAGAGCCCTGACAAGGCTCTGCAAAGGCCTTACATTTCAAATTGACTAGCTTGCTACATGGTTTATTCATCTTGAGCAACTTCAAGTTGATAAAAAAGCTAAGCATTTACACATGTACATGTAAGTTGGCTGCTGATTCAACCCAGCAGTTTCTTTAGAAACTTAAACCCATAGGGGTGGTGAATGGTCCTTCAAAAGCCATGGGTGTCGTAAAATTTTCATCAAATTTTGTTGGTGTCACAGTCTTGTGTTTTAAGGTTATGTGCATCTCACAGTCTCTATTTTTTTTCACAGAGCTGTTGCGGGGTCTCATTTTTTTGCAAGGCCAAAAAAGTCTCAGAGCCTGTCATGATTTTTTTGTATTTATAAAATAACACATTTAACACTTTGAAGTCTTGGCCTCGCAGTTTTAAAAGTCAAATGTCTTGGGATTGCAAACAAAAAATGCTTTTAAGTGTCACCCTCTCACAAAGTCTCCTAATCACCATTTCCTGCCCCAACCTATGGTAGCCTAATGGTTGTGCAACACTGTACTTCATTACCAGTGACTTATGAGCAAAATCATACATATGACAAGGTCATCCTAGTTTTCAATAATTCTATCATTGGTTTACAATCATAATGATGTCTATCTGTCCACAGAATCATCCATGGCGATAGCAATGGCTGTAAGTACACAGTGTTCATCAAATCTCTTTTGATTCCATATAACTTTAGTAACATAAAAAGGTTTGGCATTAAAAGGACTGAATTATAGTCAGAGAAATCAGCAAAAATAGTTGACAAATGCTAGGATTCTTTGAAACCTGGCTCGCAAACAGTCCCATCTGGTTGACAGGGATTCCTTGCACTTGCTCAATGGGCAAGGACCAAAACAGACCAAAAATAAAACAAAAAAGTAAACATAACTGCCCCAGGATAAGAAAAATATTATTTGATCAGTTACTTGTCTGAAAGGGCAAGACAGAATTCAGACACTTTTTTGCAACCCCTTCTTGGCAATCAAAATCAAAACTTGTTGGCTGTGACAGATTATCACCTGTTATATTGAGGGAAAACCTGTCAAGTCATCGCCATCATCATTGTCAGTTCTTATTGCATCTGTTAAAAACCCAGCAGCTAAAACTAGCAACATTTAGTCCTTATGCTACTTGTATGCCAAGAATGGGATGGTCCTGCCAGATTCAGTTCTTGTGACAGACAGACAGACAGCCAGACAGACAGCCAGACAGGTCTGTCAGACCTGGTCAAGTGCTAAATACATGTTTGTGTTCAGTAAGTGGGGGTTTTCAAACGTGTATCCAAATACATGTAGCCATACAGTGTAGATGAGTAAGTTTGTCAAGTACATGAATTATATTTATTGGCAAAAATCTTACTAACAATAAAATAACTTTTTTCTTCAGCTGAATGGTGGAATTGGTATCATCCATCATAATTGCTCAGTGGAGTTCCAAGCTAATGAAGTCAGGAAAGTCAAGAAGTTTGAACAGGGTTTCATTCTGGACCCACTGGTTCTGAGTCCAGAGAACTGTGTTGGTGATGTGGTGGCTGCAAAGTCCAAACATGGCTTCTCTGGGATACCCATTACAGGTACATGTAACTGAATACTGTTGAAGCATCTGAGTTTCTTACGCTTATTATCTTTACAGCTATGAAGATGATGTTCACTTGTGTATCAAGTTTGCAAAGAAGAATTTGTCTTCCTGTTAGATCTTCCTGTTGTGCAAATGGATGCTTTTACGTGTATTGCTTGCCTGATGGGCAATTAGTGACATTATTTTTTAGGTTTAATTTTAAACCGGCATGTGAAGTAACAGACACTGTCAATGATTCAAAGTTACCTGATAATGAAATGAGAAAAAAAAAATCAATTTCTCTGCACCTTGTCGTTCATTTTGTGAACAGATTTACATTTGTGTTTTATTTCAATTGGAAAAGGGAATTTCTGTGCACTGATTGTTTTTTTCATTTTTTATCTTCCACTGTTACTAGAAAATGGCCGGATGGGAGGGATTTTAGTGGGCATTGTTACATCACGGGACATTGACTTTGCACATGAACCTGATATGTCCAGGCCCATCAAGGAGGTAAGAAGAATGTAACAAGCTTTCCCTTTAAACACCATAAATTATCATAATTTGATTACTTTGAAATAACTACAGTACTGGTCAAAGGGACTACAGCATTACACGTGCATAAAGCGTGTGTACTACTCACACATTACACGCAGTGTCCACGCACCTTACATGCAAATGCACAAAAATGCGTGTAATTGCATGTGTGTAATTTCACGCAGTAGATGTAACATTGTGCGTAAAATTACACACAGTCGTTCAACTGGAACTCATTAAGTGTGGGCTACTACAGACTAAGAAATAGTATTTGTTTGATAGGTGCTCGAGCTAGTCCACTAATTTAGCAATGCTTATCGGCTTTTAAATCACTTTTTGTTGTGAACATTGAGTCGCATGTTTCGAATACAAGTTAGTAGTGGCTTTTTGTTATGCAAAATACACGCAACTGCGTGTATGAATAACAAAGGTTTCTTCCTCCAATTAAAATACATGCATTTGCGTAAAATTACACGTAAATGCGTGTAACTACTAGATCAGTAAATTTTACACCTGGGTAATTATATGCACCGTCCATGCACTGTCCATGAATACTAAACGCAGACTACTCGCATTTTACATGCGTGTAGGTGCTGCAATCCCTTTGACCAGTACTGTATGTGTTGTCCAAAAGAATATATACATGTAGCAGTTACCCTAGCGAGATTTAAAGTGATCCTGTTAATCTGTTACCATATTGTGGCTTCAAATGTGATAAAATGGCTGAAACACCAAGTGGCTTTAACTTCTAAGTGAACAATATGGTGAAAGTAAAGATTTCCAAGTAGAATTACACTATCAGTATTTCAAGTGTAAATCTAACTCGCCCTCTATCACGATTGGCCTTCTCTGATATGCTACTCGCTATCTATTCTATTGTAGATAGTGAGTAGAGTAGCAGTGAGCACTTGTTAACAAAATGACAGCCTCTTTGTGTTTTCGAAGTGTCTGTGAAGAGGATTTAGATTTAGAATGACCAGTAGATTTATACTAAAAAATTAGATTACTGGTATTCGCTGTTGATTTCTATGCAGGACAGTTGACTTGGGCTGTGCCCTTGTCAACTATCACGTGATAGAAATCTTGAGCTCATAATCTAATTGTTAAATATAATTATACTGGTTTATCAATAAAAGGTGATGACTTGTCGTGATGACCTGGTTGTTGCTAAAGATGGCGTGACACTTCAAGAGGCCAATAGCATTTTACAAAGGAGCAAGAAAGGTTAGTCTAGAACATACACACTATTTCAGATGAAATTGTTTAACCTATGTGACAAGACATTGGACACTGGACTTAAGTGCAAACAAATTACTAGAAATTTCCCTCGCAAGACCTCTTCCTATCCAATGGCTTTTCCTTCACTGTTACATGGCTTTGAGTTGAAAATTCTTTTTGCTGCAAAGTAGCTAAAAGAGACCTAGTATTTCCACAAATCTGAGGAAAAAGAAAACCTTTGAAATTGCATTTGTCATGTAATTAAATCTCGCTAGAGTATTTGGTAAGCACATACAGCAGCTTTCTACTTTGATTACATGTATCTACACACTGGCTTTTGGTGTTGTTGCACAAGTTAAGGATGCTCTGATCTGACGATGTTATAGCTTATACTGGGAAAGGAGACACGGAGAAGACCAGTTGTATGTGTGAATGATGTGAAAAGAGGTTAAATTACAGAATGTGCCAAAGATCAGCAGTTAGAAAAAGTAATCAAAGTGCTTATATAATATGGGTACTTATTAGTTATATGATGGTGGGATAACTAGAATAGGGGTGACTATTAAAAAAATGAACTGTGGACGACAGGGCAGGCAGATTGAAAAGTAAGCCCACAACAGAACCAGATGGTGGACAGCTCCTTGGACCTTTGTTCCAAAGGGAGTGGTAGGGAATAAGTAACCAAGTATTTAATTAGCAAAAATATGTTTCAAGGGGATGAGTATTAGAAAGGGGGCTAACTTATCAGAAGGGGGTGCTAATTCAGTCGTTTAATCATTATGGTATAGGTTTTTCTCCTCTGTGTTTCAGGAAAGCTTCCCATTGTTAATGAAAAGGGAGAGTTAGTTTCGTTGATTGCAAGGACAGACCTCAAGAAGAATAGGAATTTCCCCCTGGCCTCTAAAGATGCTAACAAACAGCTCTTAGGTAATATGCGAGGTATTGAATTTTTATGGGGAGTTGAACTGTGTCTTCACATTGACACAGTGTTGTAAGCCATGTCCCACTTGAGTTGGGTTTTTCAAAAAGTTTAATATATTAGATTTAGTTGCACAGTTTAGCAGAGCAGTACATGTATGTAGGAAAATGTGAGTCATTGTTACTTCTAACCTTTAAGGGTGGGAAAAAATTTTGTTCTTTTATTTCAGAAAATTAAAGTCAACCATTTCATGTAATGTTTACCTAAAAAATTGATAAAAATCTCAGAAAGCACCCAAGTTATTTACAAAAGCATATTTTAAAATAAAAGTTAATAAAACATAAGGGTGTCATAATCCTGTAAACGGCCAAAACTTCCCAAGATTTTTCACGGCAAATGCGTGTCTTGAAGCTCATACAGTATTTCATGGCCATTTGATAAAAGCTCTCAGATGGAGAGCACACTCTCATATGGAATATTCTTTTAAGTTATTTTAAAATAGAATAACATTATTAACTAGAACAGAATAATATTATTAGCTGTAATTACTATACATGTAGTTCTCATTTATACACATTTGTATTTTGAACTAGTTCTTAGCTCCTCAATGAAACTTAAAATAAATGATTGATTGATTGATTGATTAAAGAAAGTCCTTGGACAAAGAAAAAGGAAAAAACAAAACAAAACAAAACAAAAAAAAACAGGCCCATATAAGAAAGTCTGACCAGTCTGTTATACAAGCTACCCAGAGAAAAACTCTTAGTTGTCTTTGTTGTTTTATTTACTTGGTGACTAAATTGGTGTACATAACGTTTTTCATTGTCACCAGTGGGTGCTGCTATAGGTACACGAGAAGATGACAAGCAGAGACTAGAGGCATTAGTTCAGGGTGGATTGGATGTTGTAGTCATTGACTCTTCTCAAGGAAATTCAATCTTCCAGTTGGATCTGATCAGGTAAACAAATTTTATATTCACTTACACAAAGAAAAACCTTTTTAATATCACTAGCTGTATTAGTCAAGTGTTAGCTTAAGTCTAGCTTCTCAAACTAAAAGCGTTAGCTGTGCAAACTCGCTACAGTTTGTTAACCCAGTGTTATAGTGTTAGCCATCGGTCAGCTTTACGAACACAAATGTCAACTGCACAAACTTGCTATGGATGTTAATTTATCTTTATCACAAAGAACACAGATAATCTAGATAATCCATGTTACTTCATCAGATTCATAAAGGAGAGGTACCCAGATCTTCAAGTTATTGGCGGTAACGTTGTAACTGCAGCACAAGCAAAGAATCTCATTGATGCTGGAGTTGATGGACTCAGGGTTGGCATGGGGAGTGGCTCTATCTGCATCACTCAGGAGGTGATGGCTGTCGGCCGACCACAAGGCACTGCTGTGTTCAAGGTAGCAGAGTATGCCAGACGGTTTGGAGTGCCTGTTATTGCTGATGGTGGTATTCAGGATGTGGGGCACATCTCAAAGGCTCTTAGTCTGGGAGCTTCAACCGGTAGGATCAGTGTAACCTTTCTTCGTTCTTGGTCAAATGTTTCAGTAGAGTTTTTCTCTATCTACCAGTTTATAATCCATCAAATATTTTGGCTCGAGCACGATTGGTCTAAATGCATCATGTGACTGAATATGCCACAATTTTCAAAACTGTGCATGTTGTGAAAAATACTTTAAGGATAATAAACGCAACAGTCTCCAAAGCTTGCAGCCTCAAAGCTCACAGTTTTCCCTGGGCTACTCTCTCAGAAAACTGTTTGCATCTTGGAATGGATTATGTCCATGAACAAATATCCGAGCACACTTTGGTGCCAAATTGAGGCTATTGTTAATATATGCAATGTTGCATTGTACATGTCAGGACATCAATACCATGTTAACTCAGAGACTCAAAGGGAAGTAAGCAACCCAATGAACATCAAACCCAAACATCAATAAACTTATATATTTTAATATAAAAGTGTCAGCTTCTCCCCACCATGACCCAGAAGAAATTACAGCTTGCATGTGTCTGTCTTTACATTTTTCTTTCATGTGTACATTACAAGGAAATAAACAGTTTTAATTCCCAAGTCATTTTTAGACTTGCCCTGTAAGGCTTAAAAAAAGTGGGACTTATGGTACCTCCAGTTTCTGTCACACAAAGCAACTAGAAGTATTGCAACCATTGGAGGCGAACCTCTCTTTTTGTCAGATCACCATAACTACACATTGACAGGCATCCTTTATGGAGAGAAGCACTGTGAAGGAAAGTTTTTTACCCAAGAACAAAACACATTGACCTCATTAGTTACAGCTGGAACTGAGGTGCAATGCACTGACTATTAGACCACATTGTTTTTCACTGAATGACAACTTTTTGCAATAATGAATTCATCATCCTTTTACATTTTAGTCATGATGGGATCGTTGTTAGCTGGGACCACTGAGGCTCCGGGAGAGTACTTCTTTGCTGATGGTGTGAGGCTAAAAAAATACAGAGGTAAGAACCCTAGCTTGCAAGTCCTCTCTATTAATTACATGTACAATGTTGCTACATCGACACTTAAATAAAGTGATTATTATTATGTAAGTGTTAAATAACGGTATTTTCCAACAAACACAGCTAACACGACTGTTAGTTTGTGTTTATTGGTCTTGTTTGGGAGGTTGGGCACTGTAGCTAGCTAGCAAGCCTGCATGCCCATGTCTTGATGGAATGAAGTGAACAGTGAGACAATGGATGTTCGTGTACTTGTTTTGCCAGGTAATGAGCAGTTTGGCAGCTTAGAATTAGGGTCAACCTAACAACAGGAAGGCAAACCTTGCAACTTGTATAGTGTGTACATTCTCAGGAGCCAGGCGGTTAACTGATCTTCTGATGAATTATACATGAGCTTAATCTATATTCCGTATGCCACTGGGCCTAACTGAGCTATTTTTGGATATGTAAAACATTAGACAATGAGACAAGTCAGACTTAGGTGTGCCACCAGTTGGGGTAGTTTATATAGAAGTAATAATCTCACTTGTTCCAGGAATGGGATCATTAAGTGCCATGGAGAATAAAGGTGGAGCACAGAGATATTTCAGGTAATTCATGGTGTTGTGGATATGATTCATAGTCAGGGTTCAATGTCACAGCAGTCACTGTCACTACATGAAACGGATTAAGGTGCCAAACTTTGTCCCCTTTCTATTGGACTCTTTTTTTTTGCACTATTTTACCTTGCGTACAGATGCATGGTGGATGTGCTGTGGCTTAATGGTTAGTACACCAGACTCTGGCCATGGATTGTTCAGTCTGGGTTCAAGCCCTGGCTGGGGTCATTCCGTAGTTTTCCTGGGCAAGGCACTTTATTCTGACATACATCCTCTCCATCCAGGTGTATAAATGGGTAGCGGGGAATTTACTTTTTTTGGGGGGGGGGGGGGGGGGGGGGGGGGGGGGGG